ACCAAGTGGGGTTCATGGGCCAAAACGTTGGAAGCATGGCGGTACAGTAGCCAACATTGGTCCTGTGTTTGATTCCTGGGGTGCTACCTGTGAGGAGCCTGTGTGCTCTCCCTGTGTTCGCGCAGGTTTCCTCCGGGTTCTCCGGTTTCCCCCCACAGTCTAAAGACATACTGGTGGGTTAACTGGCTTCTGGGAAAATTGGCTCTGGTGTGGCTGTGATGGACTGGTGTCCTGTCTGTCACGCCCTCTGCAGCCAGAGGGCGCTCCTTCTCTGTCCTGTCTCTCATTTCCGGTTCTCTGCTGTCCTTCCGGTGTTTCTCTCTCTCAGGGGCTATATATTTCCGGGAGTTTCAGTCTGCCTTCGCTCAGCATTGACGTTCGGATGTCCTGAAACCTAGCACCAGGACGCCCCACCTCCGCTATCTGAGGGCATAGGTTTCTATACGGCATTAGCCCAGGCTAATCCCCATCTCGCCGCTACGCATAGGGTCTTTTCGCTCTCCTGTCATTCCACGGTTCGTCCTTTTCGACATCTGTGACAGAATGCTGAATGCAATAAAGGCAGACTGAAAGACCTGGACATATATAGCCCCAGAGAGAGAGAGAAACACCGGAAGGACAGCAAAGAACTGGAAATGAGAGACAGGACAGAGAAGGAGCGCCCTCTGGCTGCAGAGGGCGTGACACTGTCCAGGGTGCACCCTCACTTGTGCCTTGCTCAGTGCATTCTGGGATAGGCTCTTGCTCAGCTGTGACCCTGAGTTGGAAAAAGTGGTTGGAAAATGGATGGATGGATAGATGGGGCGGAACAGCCCCATCTATCCCCAAAAGGGCTTCCTTTTGTTTCTTACCCTTCATCTGATCGTAACTGTAAGAAATGGCACACTGCTATGACTGCAGTGCAATTAAAATTAAATTTCCACAAGATTGCATAAAGACGGCAGAAAGATTCTATTATACTACAAGTCGTAAGCAATCATAGGTCTTCTGTGCAGCCATATAAGTATCTGGTTTTACAATCTGCTGAAAAAATCCATCAGGAACCCTCCCCCCTCTCTGAGTGAGGCTGTGACTCAGCTGGCACCAACCATTGATCATTGTCAATTAGCCACTGCCCTTTCAAGACACAGGGACAGCTCCACATACATGTTAAAACATTTGACCTTAAGTGACCTTATATATGTAATTCCCCAAACGCCCAAGGGAGAATTAAATATCTAGTGATGGATCCTGTCATCTCTCGGGGAGCCTCCTGGAGGATTGTATTGTGCCCTGCATTCCCATGATGATACTCATAAGTGATCAGCTGGGATTGTCTCTCCATCTCCGTGAAAGACCATTGCTTGGGACCACTCGAATAAAAGTGCGCTTTCACACCTGTATAGTCTGACCAATTTCGTATAAATGAAATTTCTGGTGTGAAATTCCTGAAAAACCCAGGGGCGGTGGGTGGCTCTGTTGCTAAGGATCTGCGTCTGTGGCTGGAAGGCTGCTGGGTCTTATCCCATGGCCGACAGAGGAATCCCACTCCCTTGGGCCCCTGAGCAAGGCCCTTAACCCCAGCTGCTCAGGGGGTGCTGCATAAATGGCTGACCCTGTGCTCTGACCCCAAGCTTCTCTCCCTGTCTGTGTGTCTCATGGAGAGCAAGTTGGGGTATGCGAAAAGTCAAATTCCTAATACAAGAAATCGTATATGGCCAATAAAGTGATCTCATCTATCATATATAAAAGTAGACTCAGATAAAAGACCATGGTGCGATGGGGGAGTGCCGTCAAGTCGGTGTCGACTCATGGCGACCCTATGGGTAGTTCCCCGTCACTATCCATAGAGTTTTCATGGCAAGATATGGAAGTAGGTTGCCAGGCCTTTCTTCCGCATAAATAGTGCTAGCATTGTTGCCGTTGTCACAGAAATGTGATCCTCTGCCAACACCGCCCCATACTGCTGCAGCCCAGTCTGGGTTATTAAAGCACGTTGTTGGGGCCATAACACATCATACATGACTGTACTTGTTATTTAGTTAATCTGACAAATTTGTCAAAATAAATGTCAATTGAGGAACACGGGTCTATGCTAGAGATCAGCTGAAAGGTGTCAAGGTAGGACACGGGGGTGATATAACTCCATCACCATCAATAGATAGAATTTAATGCTAATCGAAAAGAATAGTGGGTGGCACAGTGGTGCAGTAGGAAGCACTGTTGCTTTGCAGTGCTGGGACTCTGGGTTCAACTCTGGGCCCGGGGGGTGCTGTTGGCGTTGAATGTGTATGGTCTCCCATGTTTGTGTCAATTTCCTCTGGGTGCTCTGATTTCCTCCTTCAGCCCAAAGACATACTGGCTTCTAGGGAAATTGGCCCAGGTGTCAATATGTGTGTGTCTTCCTGCCCTACGATTGGGCTAGCGTCCTGTCCAGTTTGTGCCCCTTGTGCCCACTGCATGCTGGGATAGACCCTGGCTCCCGACATCCCTGCATTTGATCAAATGGCTAGGAAACGGATGGATGTAAAATAGCGGTTTGAAAGATTATGCGGTAAGGAATGACATCACAGACAGCACCCGAGCTTGTCCAAGGAGGCGTTCAGTTAGTCTTGTGTTGCAAGGCCAGCCAGGCAAACACAGATGTTTTTCACACCGCGAGTACTGGCAGCTCCCAGCACAAGGAAACGAGAAGCTGTGCTGGCAAGTGGGCAGAAGCAATAAACCTGGAAAACAAATCTCTGAAGACCTGGAGGGGTAGATCTGTCCTTGAACATTTTCCTTTAAAAACAAGAAGTGCCGTAATGTGCGGAAGATTCACTCGTTTACACTTCTTTGTCTTTAAAGGGGTGGACACTGTGCGGTCAACAGAGTGCGCAAGCCCAGTCAGAGGGGTCACTGCAGTCTTGTGCTTTTCAGCTCACTCGAGGACTTTATTATCTGATAGGATTATAATTAATAATAATTTCTTACACTTCTATTCTGGACACTCCACTCAAAGAGCTTTCAAGGTAATGGGGACGCCCCTCCACCACCACCAATGTGCAGCCCCACCTGGATGATGTGACGGCAGCCATAGTGTGACAGAACACTCACCACACATCAGCTATAAGTGGGGAGGAGAGCAGAGTAATGAAGCCAATTCATAGATGGGGATTATTAGGAGGCCATGATTGGTAAGGGCCAATGGGAAATTTGGCCAGGACACGGGGGTTACACCCCTACTCTTTTCAAGAAACGCCCTGGGATTTTTAATGACCACAGAGAGTCAGGACCTCGGTTTTACGTCTCATCTGAAGGACAGTGCCTATTTACAGTATAGTGTCCCCATCACTATACTGGGGCATTAGGACCCACATGGACCGCAGAGTGAGCGCCCCCTGCTAGCTGCACTAACACCTCTTCCAGCAGCAGCCTTAGTTTTTCCCAGGAGGTCTCCCATCCAGGTACTGACCAGGCTCACACCTACTGAGCTTCAGTGGGCTGCCAGTTGTGAGTTGTAGAGTGATCTGGCTGCTGGCTGAATTAATTGCTTGTCCACTGGACCCATTTAAGTCTTCATCCTCAGGCCCCGGAGCTGGTGGTGATTAAGAGGAACATATTAAAGCTTCTGCCAAGTCAAGCAGTATGACTCAATGCAGTGTAGTGAAGAGCTGTCTGTAATCAGAACTCACGCTAATGTAACAGGTGTGTGATGGCCATGTCGTCTATTTCAAACCTCATGTGCAGGCAGACTGGCATCGGGCAGTCAGCATTCTCCAAGTCCTTTCTCAATCCTTAGGTGTCAGCCTTGAAATGTGGGGACCGTATTGCAGATCGAGTGTACTAAAACGTTTTGCTGTCTGTCTTTGTGCATTCAAATACCACACCAATAAAGCGACTGACCTCCCTGGATAGCTTTGGATACGTAGACACCTTGAAGAGAGGACCAGTTGTTAGTACGGAGCGCCATCTAACGGGCTCGTCAAATAATTCGAAGGCGGTTAACAAAAAGGTTGGTTTTGTATCAAGGTCTGCGAGAGTTTACCTCACAGGTAAAAGACAGCGGTTTAAAATATCCCTTGGAGTATTATTTATTAAAGCCAATATGAATAGCCAAATTTAACTTAATGTAACTACTTATGAAACCAAGACTAGATAATTTATGAGAATTCTAATAAAGAATAATGCAACATACTCAATGTATGTTGAGCGTTCTGGCGTACTATGGCTGCCAGGTGGGGCTGCAAATTGGTGGTGGTGGAGGGGAGTCCCCATTACCTAGAAAGCGCTTTGAGTGGAGTGTCCAGAAAAAGCGCCATATTAGTGTAAGCTATTATTATTATTATTATTATTATATGTTGTAGGAGTTTATCTGTAATATGGATGTACATATAAATTCAGATGTTCCTTACTTCTGGTAAATTGATACTAACGAAAATCAACATTTGTTAAATTAGGTAATCCTGTTTTTTATCTTTATTCTGTAGCCGCGTGTTTATTACGTATTTTGTAATTTGTTGTCCTCATAATTATTTTTAAACCCATTGTAAACCGTTTAGAGATGCCGTTTTTAAATGAGTATATAATAATGTTGTTTTTATTATTATACCGAGTTACGCAACACCACAGAGCATTTGGATATACAACAATGCATTATTAACACATCACCTCTTCCCAGTTATATCTCCTAAACATACTATGTAACATGAAGATTTGTTAAAAACTAAGGGATTGTTAGCTTTTTTTTCGTTTTCGTTGACCGCATTTGCTGCAGTATAGTAGAAACGAAGTTTGTTAATAGCAATATAATATGGATGTAAAAGATCATATTTCGACACATTAGTACTTTATTTAAAAAGTAGTATGTTCGTAGTACTTTCATCGTACATATGAAATAACGCACTGTGCACTATTTGCAAATTCGTTTTAGCAGGAGCCTGACTCGATAAAAGTAGTGCCATCACTGTTGTTCTCTGGGAAATGTAGTTTTTTCACTTCTCCTGTTGACCTCCCATCCCTTCTGCGGCCAGAACGTGCTGCAAGCCTACAACCCCCGGCGTTCACTGCAGTAATCTCATCATAGTTAAACTCGGCTGTCAAAACTATAAAAAACCTAAATGAACCCAGAAGGAAATGCTTGAAAGGTCTTCCAGATCGATTGTAAAGTATAATTTTAAAAGTATCTGTTTACTGGATTTTCTTGATTGTAGGCTAGTATCGCTGTTTGCTACTTGTTAAAGGTCGAAAACAGCGTGCAGACGTGCAGAATATGAGTTAGCCTCTTCACTTAAACCTTGTGGATTTTGTTTTCGTGAAAACGAAACTTGTTTCTTTTATGAATGTTTCCTCCTGGCCGCTAGTGAGGTGTTTGAGTAACAGCGCAGAGACTCAAAACCTTGAATGCACTTTGAAATGGAAAGGGGGTTGCAAAACGCGCAAACGAACGACACCAGCGCGGAGAAATTAATGGACGAATACCTGAAGTCGTTAGGATTGTACCGAAAGAAAATTGCCAAAGACGGATCCTGCCTGTTTAGAGCTGTGGCCGAGCAGGTAAAGAAAATAAAATATTACTTCACATATGACCACCATTTTTCGAAAAATAAAATCTAAAAAGTACTTTGAGAGTCTTAAAGAGGAACTCGTGGGGAGAAAAGTAACATACTAACTGGAGGGGAGTGTGGACAACGTGCTTTCTGCTCAACCCAACCGTCATGCAAAGGGGTTTAATCCTAATCAACGAAGAAAATGGGGAGTATTAAGGATGGAAGGGTTTGCATCCTTGCTGTTTAATTCAAGAGAATATATTCAGTTGCGACTGAAGTATAACTGCTCGCAGCTCAAAACTGCTTTTTGTTTCGTTTTGAGGTACTGCTTTGCCAAAGTCGACATCTAGAAGTACGGCGCACCTGTGGTGATTACGTAAAAAAGAACAGGGTCAAGTACGAATCGGTAAGTTTTTGTTATTCTTCTTAAACACGACTGTGTTGAGAATCGATTACACTGCCGTCAAGTCTTCAAACGTCATTGACGTGACGGGTAGGACTCGTTTTTTCTTTGCAGTTCATCGAGGGGAGTTTTGAGGAATACCTGCAAAGACTGGAGAATCCGCAGGTAAGAAAACTTTCCGTAGCCCCAGCATGCAAGACGAAGGCGCTGTGAAATATTACAAGTTGCTCTTAGAGACTGACAGACATATTTAGTGCTTTTTTTTTTGGCTGAGTATTTTGGTGACGTCACTTTAAGCGTGAGAGAATTGTTCAGGACCGAAAGAGCCCAGTTTGGAATTCTCCTCTTTTGCAGATAATCCACAGCGGATATGCCCATTAACCAAGTCCCTCCTTCGAACAAACCACACCTAAAACAGTGATCGATTAGCAAGGCACGGTTCTGCGTCGTGTGCCCTAACCTTTTGGTTTTAGTTTTAAATAATACTGAGTATCATGTGATGTACTGTATAGGATTAAGCGGTTAGAAAGGCTGTAATAATAATAAATCATAATCAATTAACATTCTGGTGGCGAATGTATCCCATAGATTTTAGTTTTACTTTTTATTCCGGTCCTCAAGCGTGCTTTGCATGGTGTTACTAGAGTCATAAAAAAAATGTTGGAGGAATGTATTATGAATTTCAACTATGTTGTCTTTGTGCCTATAGAGCTGGGTTGGAGAAGTTGAAATAAGTGCCCTGGCCCTCATATACAAGTAAGAGAGTTTTCTTGTGACTAGGGGGGCAATTATACAGAAATATGTTTTTCATAATTCAGTTAAGCTTAGTAGTGCTCTAAAGTGGATAGGTCATTGTGTAGTTCAAATCCAAAAGTAATTGTTTTACAAACTGTTATTTCACAACTTAAAAATAATATCTTAGAAGAAACCCCTAGTGATTTGTCTCCTTTATTAAAAATACCCTACGGTACAGGAAAAGAAGTAACAGCACTGAATTGTACATAGGATTAACACATGGACATCCAGAGCTGCACTGTAGTCTTAGGAGAACACATGGCTACAGTGTTTTAGAATCTGTTTTGCAGAGTTTTTAACCGAGGCAGTTTATTGATTTTCATTTTCTTCAGTACAGAGATAAATATTGTCAGTATAAATCTTATTCATGCTAAGATGGTAAAGTGGAATTACTTTGTGATACGGTAGTTAACCAAATTTATTGCAGGTGATATTATTTAATTCTTTAGAGCAATTCAAGAGAGCTGGGTCTAGGAAGAAAAATGAAGGAATGACCTGTTGCAGTTGTGGATTTATCTTTAGAGCACTTCAGGGCTTCCAGCTCTCCATAGCAGCTTCCTCAATGTTGCTATAGAACGGCAGACTCTTTAACAGAGTGCTGAGAAACAATATTGTTCAAATCAGATTTAAAACTAGATTTACATTTTTGTGTTAGACATAGTTGTTGTATGCTAGTGACTGAACATTGGAATGACTGCAAGCTTTTTTTAAAAAAAAAATGTACAAAAGAAAACTTCACTGTCAGTCTTTCCAAATAAGTTGAGTCAGTTTTTATTTCTCCCCACCCAGGCATGACTTCATGATCTTTCAGGAGCCTGGAAAACCTCCAGTTCATATAACTGAAAACAATTTTCCTGACAAGGTAAAGCAGTGCTTCCAGGGTGGGGGGTGTATGACCTATGACCTCTAACCTCAGTACACCATGTTGTTGTCCTGTGGTTTTAGGGGCTGTTTTGTTTTTATAAAATGCAAAGAATATTGTTATGCTTGTAGTATAATGCATACAAATATGTAAGTCCCTCTGTCTGTCCCCCAAGCCTGTCTATACTCAATTGATGATGGGGCTTTCTCCTGTTATGCCCCAAAGCTCCGTAACTCTATCTCTAAGGATATCAGACACTCACCTTCCCTGAGCTCTCTAGAATCTAGAATCAAAACCTTCTTTTTTAGAAGGGCTTTTACTTAACTGGTTCTGTTATATACCCCTTTGCTCCTACCGCATCCCCATCTACTATCTCCTCTCATTGTGTATATATATTGTATATATTTTTTTGTTCTGTAAAGCACATTGAGAAGCCACCTTTAAAGGTGTTATATAAAATAAGTTTTTTTTTTAGCACTCGTTTCTGAAACATACAACCTTCTACTAGTCTACAAATGTTGTGACCGCACACGGGGGAGAATGAGGAAGTGCTGACAGACTCCTCCCGCCTGCCCTCCTTCTAGCCAATCGTCTTTTAACACATCACAGGCCACACAGCCCTGTAGGAGGAGGGGCGTGTTCCACATCTTCCTCATCCAGAACATTGCATGCCTGCACGTACCTGGGAGGTTATGGGGGCCACTGAAAGAGCCCTGCCTGACTAATCCTACCTGCTACTCGGGGAGTCCTGGTCACAGCTGACTTGTGACATGACCCAGGCTTGAACCTGTGAGCACAGGTCTGGTTGCACAGTTTTACAGTAGCTAAGCCACTTAAGGGGGAGGCATTTGGTGTCATAGATGCAACATTTTGTTGAATTGTAGGAAGCAAAAACTGAAACTGAATGTTTTGATTTTTTTCCCTTTTTCTCTGGCGACATTTTGTTCCAGATTCGTCTCTGCTTCTTAAACGGGAACCACTATGACAGTGTCTACCCAAAGCAGTTTGAGAAAGACGCAGCTCTTTGCCAATGTAAGTGCTTTTGAAGTTGAGTAACTAAAGATTGGCTATAAATGAGTCCAACCGGTTTGGTTATGTGTTTATTCTTGAGTGACATTTACATTGTCCACAGAGCAATTCAGATGGGAGCAGTAAATGACTTCCAGGTTAAGAGATTACCCGTGGTTTCTGACTGTTTCTCTTTCCTGAATATTCAGGAATTTATGTCCTGTCCCTGGGCAGGTAACTAAGGTCTGTGCACTGATTGATCTTTAACTCTGCTAGCCTTGCCCCTAAATCATTCCAGGAAGAACGGATAATTCCTTTCCCTGTTATCAGCTGCTGTAATTTGGGAAACGTGCATAGCTTTGTGTAGGATGGCCTTGTAAATAATTTTGTACAACTTGCAACCCGTTAGCAATCTGATTTTTCGGGACCGTGTTCTTCCCACCCAGCCATTCTGTATGAGCTCCTGTACGAACGAGTCTTTGGAGCGGATCACAATGCCATAGCTGCCTGTCTTCAGGATTGCGGTGCGGACAGTGAGGGTGGAGCAGAGGAGTGCGAGAGCAGCGAAGAGTCTGGTCTGGATGATGAGGAGTGGTAAGGAGAAGGGTGGGGCTGTGGGAAGCAGGAGTATCTTCAGCAGAGCAATCCAGGCGACAAGAAACTTGATCCTGCAGCTTTCATGTTTAGTGCTGTGTTTTTATGGTACCGTCTCACTGCTGTGACGGGTAACAGCACAACAGGAAGCATCCCTGTTAGGAAAATTAGTTAACATGGGTTTTTGTCCTTATTGTAGTGGAGCTTACCTGATAAAGAGACAACATTTCTTTGGCATTAAGTTTACTTATACGTAGTGTTTTGTTTGTCTGAACTTTGTCTATCTTGAGACCGGATGCAGTGTTCAAGCTGTATTTTACGTAGGTCATTGCAAAATTCTTTATAAATGTTCTAGTTTTTTTACGCTCTGCGTAAGTGATCTTATTGTCTCTGGTGTTTTTCACATTTCCTTTATTCTGTACTTCTGTATGAGTTGAATTTTATCAGGCATTTTTATAGTTGAACTTAATACCTTGACCAGACCTGTCAAGTGTGAACCACATTTGGGGGAAAACATGGGCAAGTTGGGTCTAGAGACACTCATCAATAATTGCTCACAAGGTTTCTAATCTGTACTTGGCAGTGGCTTTGCTAGCCACATTGCTATTAAATCGGTCAATTAAATGTCAAGTACTTTGGCCTCAAGGTGCTCAGCAAGCTTGGTATTATCAAAAAAGCCTTGTTTCATATCGAACACCACAGTGATCTTAAAATGGTTTTATATTAGCTAGTTTTTGAATTATTGACCAGTCTCACTATTTAAATTGAAGCACCACTGTTTTGCTTGTTATTCATTAAAGTGTTGGTGAGGGGGAGGTTTATTTAAACAAGCAGAAAGAGTGATTGGAATATAGCTGAGTACTGTAGAAAGCAGTTGCTTCTGTGTAAACTTTGCCTATTCTAAACTGCATAGCTGTTTGGAAATTACTGATAAAGAATTAAACTTAAATCTAAGTAGCTTTGAGCACGTTGTGGTGAGAAAATGCACAATATACTTACCTCTTGGAGGTTACAAAGTAATTTAAATCCCAGAGGAAAATCACTAAGAAAGTAAGGGGCTTTCTGCTGGTTAAACAGGAGAGCTCTGTTGTCATGACGACAAGCCAAAAAGACAGGTGTTCCCCATGTTCGGCAATGATTGAGAAAGAGTAGCTTCCTTGGCAGATAATAAATAGCAGGTGATGAATTGCTTTTCTCTTTAGTTTTTATTTTTATTAGGTCAAAGCTCGAGTAAATGTCTATTGATTATTTTTCTATATGTACATTGAAGGTAAGGAAAAACTTAATATTTCAGATTAAATTTGTTTGCTTTCCGTAGGTACTTTGCAGTTCGTTCTGGATTGGACATCTTTTAATGTCATAATTCTGCTTGAAGGGTTAGGCTGTTCTTTCGAGACATCAGTTTCAGCGTCTTCAGTAGCTGTGAACTGATTGTGTTGTAACGGAGTGCTACCTGAAAGATGTATTTAAACAGGACATACTTCACCCACAGGAAAAATATATATTTGTTTACTTGCAGATTTTATACCCTGAAATGTTTATATATGTAGGTAAATGAAATGCAATAAAATGAAAATGGCAGAAGTATTCAATTAAAGTTCCTTAAACTGATTTAAATCTGCATTTTTTTTAATAACAGGCCTGAAGTAGCAGCCGACACAGCCAATATGAACAACTTCAAGTCTTTGCGAGGACGCCAGGTTCACAAGGTGCATTTAACCTAGAGGAGACGCCGTGAAGTGCTTTGTTTGCACAATCTTATTATGTGACACTTGGTTGCTTCTTGTAGCCTTCTACAGTAATTGCCTCAGATGTGGACATATATGGTAGTAGCCGTTACTGTATTGTTTCAGGATTACTCCGACAAGTAGCATTGCTCAAATTTTTTTTTAAATCTTTAATTTGCCTTTTCTTGTAAAATCTAAACAACTAAAAAAATGATTTGTTTTAGTTATTAACATATGAAAATAAACTTTAGCTCTTGACAAGATTTGACTAACATAATGTTATACGACAAATATAAAGTTGGTGTTCATAAGAATATCGATAAGGTCAAAGGTACATCTGGAAAATCCACATT